GATTTTTTGGCAGTTTTCTTGTATTTGCTTTTAGCTAGAGCAGAAAAAAAAAAAAAAAGCTTCTTCAGGCAACAAGAACACCCGCCTTGCAGAAAGCCAGTTACTACGTGATTTACTCCAGTGCAGTCCACATAAGTTTTCCAAGGAGGAGTGTCCTGAGAATAACTGAGTATCACATGCCGATCAAACTGGTGAGACTATTCACTGAATCGAGGCCTTGCACAATGTGGTTCTCATTTAGCTCCAATCTAAAATCCTACACACTGTGCAAAGAAAGCAATATGAACAGCTAGTCAAGTCGTAACTTCTTGCATATCCTTCAGTATTTACATAAAGGCAGAAAGGAGAGTGTCTTCATAAAGTACACTGAATCACAGAACAAGCCAGATTTTGAAACAGTAGGCGCTCCAAGAGGGACACAAAACAGATGGTAGTTCAAGGTGACAAATGTGACAATATAAACCATTCACTGCTTAAGTGTAAAGGCAAGTGAAGAGCTTAGGCTTATCTTATTCATTCATATACAGCGTTCAAGCTCTTAAAAATTTTAACTTAGCAGTCACAAGGAATGGGCAAGGAGCATAGGCCTTTCTAGCACTATTACGTTGCCACCAGCTTTAAAATGTCTTTGAAGGAGGCAGAAAATTAATCTGAAACAATAACTGGAGTTCAACTACAAGCAGCAATTTGGGTGTTAAGATTACCTGGAGAGACAAGCAAAATGCCCTGCAGCTGAAGTACTGCCACACTGGAAGCACTTGTTTGACTGCTAGCCATGGAGATACACTCCAGTCCTCCAAGTAATATGTATTTTTAGAGAACAATATGAGGACTGATACAGGGACAAAAGCTTTCTTCATTTTTCTTGAGCATTAATTCTCTGAACAAATGTAGTATTACTGTTCATCTTTCCCATTTGCAAAACTGCTTTATTAAAAAAAATAATTCTGAGCTAGTTAAAAAGGAAGTATTAGAGACATGACTAGTGTGCTCTTTCAACTGGGATAGTTAGGAAAAGTCTCCATAATGGATGCAAGTATAAGGAAGAATAGCTAAAACAAATATATTGATAAAATTTAACATTAATACAAGGGAAGAGACACTAAAAGATATCACCAGTACAATTATAAAGGGAACAAAAATGTCAATACAGAAATCACTTATTGGAACACTCCTCAGCATAATACGTTACAGAATTCTGTTCCCTGAAATACCAAAAATTTCATCAGGTGCTGCTCAAAAAAGTTCAGTGGTCAATTAAGCAGCATATGAAAAATAGTTGTGTTTTAGGATACTATAGAGATAAAACTAAGAAGAGATTAACACATGAAAAGCTAAAAAGTTTGTTATAGTCTATTCTCATTTTTACAACTACCCTTAATTTATTAGGAAAGGAATTAATGCAAGTTCTCTCTCTGAACGTCCCTATTCTCACGTCCCCATCAAATTTTTTAACCTATTTTTAATTTCAACCAGATCTAACAGAAGGTTAACAGCTTCCGAAGATACACAAGTTCTTAAAAAGTTAAATAATGATAAATGGACAAATCTGGAGCCCTTCTAACTTGTCCATACTTTCCCCTTAAAAAAAAAAAAAAACCACTGCAGCATTAACTCAGCTGTTTTAGACACCATCAGGTGATAAACATATCCAGTGCCCAAAGCATAATGCAGCTTCAAATCAGTGCTGATACTTTATTAGACAGCAAGAGAACCTAAACACACAAGCTACAAATCTATAGGAGCCCAGCCTTTAGTAGTGTCATTGCTTAAGGAGGCAGAGGGACGAAAACTTTGCTGCTGCAAGCAATTTTCTGTCAGGTCTACTCCCTGCTAAGGGAGAGTTTCTACATTAGCTGGCTGCTTCTTATTCCAATTCCTGCACTGTTCCAGTACCTGACTCAGCCTCAATTTCTCTGCAGTCCTGAAGTCACCCAGGAACACCCCGTCTGCACATGGCAACTGTCAGCTGTTTTTCATTTACTCTTACGTGCTTCAGTCTGATTTCAGCTCTCCATCTCATACACGTACTCAAAAAACATTTTCCAAATTAATTTTTCATGCTTTCCTCATCTGATGCATAGTACTACCAGAGTTCAGGAAGACATTTTAAAAGGTATTTCAAACTTTACTATTCTGAAAAGTTATAGACATGTGCCAGCAGCAGGTATGTGAAAATTCCCCTGGAATGCTTGGGAAAGCATCCTTATCTGGTCAAGTTGCAGCTCATGTGTTTTCAAGGTAATTTCCATCGTGTCTCAGAGATTCACGTTTCACATTCACATGCTACTTCACTTATGCTCCACATTAAACAGTATTTCCTAACCTTCCATAATACCCTCCCCTCCCTGGTAAATGCCAGGATATGCAGCTGTGGGACAAGGTAACAAATGAGAACAGAATCGAACTTCCTCCTTAAGGCGCTGAGATTTCCTCATTTTATGACTTAAAGCCCTCCCCTAGCCACAGGGAACTAAGCTTCGGAAAACCTAGTAAGTATCTGTTATTTGTCAGTAACTTCTGGAAAATGACATGTCCAAACAGTCCTTCCATACTTTCTGTAGCCTCATGTAAAGAGTACAGAACAGTGTATTTTAACTTGTGTTTTTAACAAAGGTTTCCTACCAACAAGAAGCTGAAAGTTTGCAAGCTCCTGCTGCCTAGGATGTTAAACCAGTCTAAGGTAACATTCTAAAAACAGTGTATAAGCTGCAGAAAATTCCACCATATTTTTAATATTAGAACAACAGAAATACGCTGATTTACCCTTTAACCTACAGCTTCTCCATAGCATTGTTTGACAAGTCATTTTTCACCAGAGGCAAAAACCAAAAAGAGACAGGGAATTTCCTTATATGCCATGCCAATAATTCTAAAGATTAAAGTGGCATTAATTTCTGAAGAATTACTTTTCCGAATAACAGTTTCCATTTGCTGGCAATCTTTCTGGATTAATATTATAGTGATTTTAATGTGGGTTCTAAATGAGATAATCCCATCCAATGAATAAACCTCAGTTCAAGTTAGCACAAAGTGAAATTTTTGGGGAAATCTATCTACATCACGTTTGAATCTCCAGAAGTCAATTATGGTCACATTAAATATATTTGTAATCATAAAAGTTTCATTATTCTTTCAAATGCTACTTACTTCAGAATTATAGATGATATCTGCATTTGAATTTGGCAAGAGGGGGTCAGATACTGGTATGGTTGAAATTGCTCAAGTAATTATATTAAGAAGAAAATCACCCCAAGCCATACGCCCCTCTGTGCAATCTCTTTCAACCATCACTTTATCAATCAGGACTAATAACATTATTTTGCCTCCATAAAAGTGATAATTGTGCAAGACAAATTTGTTCACTTACTGTTATATAACATAAGTCTAAAACCCACACATTTTCCCAACCTCCACTTGATGGGCATATAGAAAAAGCAAGAAACATCAGTTTCCAGCAGGGAGAGAGAAAAGGAAAGCCACTCATGTGTGACAGTGGATCAGGAAATCAAACAATATAGGACAGTTTATTAGAATAGTAATTTTATATTCAAATTAAAAAAATTGATAAGTCATCAGGGAAGCATCCATGTCATCAGTAAAAGAAACACAAACTTAATATGGCCTTCAAACCCATTTCTGAAACAGTTAATTCATAATGCCTTCCATGCCATTTAGACAACCCAGCTTCTTAAGTAGCATAACCAAACAATTCCTGAAATAACCCACCAACTGACCAACTCACCTCATGTTGCTGATACCAACTTATGGACCTGGCTCAGGAGCTGTGCAGCCGCCAATTCTTCATAAAGTCCATGCAAGAAACCCATGGAAGGGTTCAACCATTTGTTACCATTACTTTCAGAGAATGCCTTTTTCCAATTTTCAATTAAAACCAGTTTTCTAAAATAACCCTTAAATCATATTCATTCTTTGAGGGACCAATAACAGAGGTCTGGCAAACCAAGGTATCAATCTACTTTCCTCAATCAAAAAAAAAAAAAAAAGAGCTGAAGAGGGACTTTTTGTCACTGCTACCTCCTTAGATCCCAATGCCCTGAAAAGGGGACCAGCAAAGTGAAATCCAACTTACAGCACACCATTGCTGATGGAATCAGTCTGGCTTTCAGAATTTCACAGAAAACTTATGTTTTGGTACCCATCTCCTCCACCTGAAAGCAAGGGAATATAAACACCCCAGAACCTATGCTCTTCATTCTCATTTTCTTGTTTATAAAAATCAAGATCATTTTCTGATTTACAAAAGGAACACATTTTTTGATACACCTCCCTTCCCTAAGCTACTCTAAACTGACAAGGCACCTCTCACACAAACGACAGGTTTAGCTCTGGTCGAAGTAGCAACATTAGCAAGATTTTCCCCCAAATTTCCTGATCTTTACAGAATACTTCCTCACTCTCAAAGCACCCTGTAACAGATAAAGAGTTGCAACATGAACTACGGAGGGTGGATAGAAGGTAGCAAATCTTTCAGGTTAAACAAGATAGCTTTTCTGGGACAGGAAAAAAGGAGCAGTCAACAGCCAGGATTTTATTGACTGGCTATGAAACAATTAGGAGGAGTTGGCATCTGGTCAAGAAGATGTAAAGGATTACATAAAGTGAGTTAGGTAGCTCAAATGCTCAGGTAATCTTAAAGAGAATAGAAAGGGGAAAAATAGGAACGCTACAAGTCTACCTCGTGAATTCTGTTAGCACTGGGGATTAAAAACCTCTAAACTTGTACAGTGCTTTTTCCATACTTCCTGGCATTCTGCAGTCCGTCAGAAGAGTCACTCAATACTCATACAATTATGTTAAGTACAATATAAACAAGAAGAAAATGGTTTTAGACATCTTTATTATTTTAAGAACACAAAGGCAGGAGTTATTGCTCTAAAGATGTACCAAGAACCCAGGATTCCAGCTGCAAAACTCAGAGCACGATAGCAATATGCTAACACAATGCTGACAGACAAGAAGTATCAAAATAGTGACTCTAGAACAGCAACAGGGGGTTTGGTTTGGTGTTTTGTTTTTTTTTTTGGTTTTTTTTTTTTTTTTAATTGTGCCTATGGAGAGGAGGTGGGGAGTAAAGTCATTTTAGCAACTGAGACAATAACATCAGGAACTGTCCTCAGTGCCCCTATTATTTTACTACAAGTATTTTTGCAAGTATTTGATGGTCTTAAATTTACTTTGTACTACAGGACAAAATGACCAAAAACTGTGGCTGAGGCAAGTATACCTATTAAGAAAGGCACAAAAGAAATAAAACCTTAAAAGGACTACAAGTTAGAAAAACAGGTATTTTCAACTAAAAGCACTGCTGGTACAGCTCCCTAGCCACAGGTGTTAGTATTCATTCCTGAGACCAGATCTTCAGCTTATAACTTCTAGATTAGTCCTGTTCAGCACACAATGCATGTCTGTACCTTTAACAACTACTCAATTTTAAGGTAATCACGTACATATACCCATGTATTTAAAAAAATAAGTATTGAACTTGATACATTAAAGTGCTTTCTCTTTAAACTTCAAAGTTCATAAGTGTTACCGTGGTTGCATAGTTTAACACATGCATCCAACTATCAGTTTTCTAAAAATACCAGGTTATAAATTTAGCATTTTACTCAATAACCACAGAAGCAGCAAGACAAAGACCTTTGATATTCACAGCAAAAAAAGGGTATTAAAAAGCCATCCAACAGATAGCCAAATTTCAGTAAGTCCAGTGAAAATGGCTCACTACATAAGTATGTACTTAAACAGCACCATCTGAACAATTATTTTTAGAATGTACTAAGACTGCAATGCATTCCAGCATAGTAAAGAGTCCCAACTGCCATGAAGCAGTAGCCTCAGGGCTACGTTAAAACTGTTCAACAATTTAAATACGCTGGTGAATTTAATGAAAGATCTAGGCATCGGTTAAAAAACAATGTTTTGTGGTAACCGATTTAAGAAATTAATTGGATTCAAGCACAAGCATCTGACTAGTTTACTCCAACTGCCTGAAGCAGAGAACAGGAAAATAAAACTGCTCTTTACCTACTGCCAGAGGGTCCGGTTCACCCTCCTGCCACCCCTTCTCACACTCAGCTTCAGAACAAAGCTTTTACCTTTTCAAATCTGAACGTTAAAAGTAAGTCCTATTCTTCAAAACTGATTTCCTACAGCAAAAAGAACAAGAGTACATGGGCATGCGCGTGTGTTGTTCACTACTGCCAAACATAAGGTTTTTATTTGAGATCTCGCAAGACATTTAATTAAGTTTGACTATAGAATCCCCTTAGGGGGTAAACAATTAAAGCTTTCTGCTTTCTAACAAATAACTTTTCACTCTTAAAGAAAAATCTAAGATTTTTCCACTTTCATAGCTCTCAAATGTACCTTTTCTCAACACAAAACCACAGGAAACCTCAAAAGATGCAGAAACTTCCCATATTGCCATTGCGACATTTTTCCTAATTAAATACCATTTTCACAAGAAGCTTTATTAATATTATTTCTAATCATTTAAACGGACTATAAGTAGAAAAGGCTTTACAAATATAACAGTCTGAACCACAGCAGAACCCTGTTTCACAGATTCACGTGGCATCTCCTATGCAGGGGACAGCAAGATCCAATCACATTATCAGACCTGTAAACTCTTAAATTTGGTTTTACCGACTTGATCTTCAGATAGGAAGATGCCAGGTTTAGCTTTTATAAAAGACATCTTTATGACATTGTGACCAAAGGACCATGGGAGGCCAAACAAATTTCCTAAGGAATGATGCATTTAGAAGTAATTTTCTGCCTAGGCCTCCATTTCTAGGGTGGCTCTGTGTGATGGAAAAAGGAGTCATTTCTTTCCCAATCCCATTTTTGTCAGGAGATCCTGCTTAAGGAAGGCCAAGATCCAAACCCAGTCATCTTCCAGCAACATAAATGGCTCTCAAGATCTTCTGCTGAAGGCTTGTGATGCAGTATAAAGGTTAGAAGGTGTCCTGAAGCAATTTGGAGGGAATGAAGAGGGAGAGAAGAGTCACAAGATGCACCAAAGTAATAATGCATGTAACATAGTTCCAAATGACTTCAACTCAGCACGAAAGAGGAACTGGTAAAATCTCCTTAGAATTTCAAGTAATTCCTTTTGCTAAAAATCAAAAGGAAATTTAGAATAAACTTCCTGGGCCAGCAATGACATAGCTGGAGAAAGAAAGGTCTGAGTGCGGGCTACCGATGTTTGCAAGGAAGAGGCTGTTGCTCTGCACAGCGTGAAGCGAGGAAGGCAGAATTCACCTGAGCTGATTCTACTGATTCCCCTTCTCTGGGCTTGAGGGACTGCCCATCTTGTGGGTTAATAGCACATCCCCTAAAACAGCACATCCCTGTCTATTTCCTTCACATGGACAAAGGGAACAGGACTTAACACACCCAGCAGCCACAGGTTCCTCTGAAGGAAGAAGGTATTTACATGTTTAGAACCGGGGAACTTTTTCAGTGCTGGGAACCAAGTCAGATTTCAAACCCATTTGGCAGTCTCCACCCTACTGCACAATCAAACCTAGCACTGGTGTAAAGAGACAGGGAGGAGATGACAGTTGTGTGGCTATGGGCCATATACAATCACTGGCCATACCATGGCCCCAGCCACCTGTTTTTTGCTCTTGACTTAGCTTCCAGCCTAGAAAAGGGTCAGACAAAGAATGTCACTAGTGCTTCAAAGAACTGAAGTACAAATATGACCCCATGGACAGGAAGCTTACACAGAAGCATAAGGACATACTTTCCAAGTGCCCAGGGTATTTTTTTCTCCTCTCTCTCTCCCCCACATTTTTTCTTTCAACTGCTCACACTCTTTCCCTCTCTCAGCCTAGAGAAGTGGAAGACAACATCAACAAAAAAAGCATAGAGAAACAGCATAAAGTCCATCCTTCACACCTGAGCGGATGGCAGTTTCAAAGGGGCCCTACCTACCTGCAACCCTGTTGTTTGCTTCAAGAACTCTGTTTGCCCAAGGAAAAAGAGACGAGCAAATCCTGGAAGCAGATCCTTCCCCAAAGGAAGTTTCTTTCTGAGTCTGCAACCTGGAGCTTTTGCTTGAGACTCAGTCCTCTGAGCGGATTCTTTCTTCAAACTCTCACATTGGTTCTTTACTTTTGTGGGCAGCTGGAAAAAGAATGAAGCCGTAGGCTGAGGCAGGGACTCCATACTTCCAGGATAGGGAGGCAGAAAGACTGGAGGGGAAGGAAAAGTGCTAGTTGGTAACTTCTTGAATCATGATCTGCATTCCCTCATTTTTCTGCCACACAGAGACATACACATAGTCACTGCAATAGAGGGGGGGATGACAAGAGATGAGTACTAGACATGCAGGTTTTTTTCATGCTCTGATGCCAAAAAAAACCCCAAAGTGTTGAGCTGTGAACTTTCAAGACTTTTAAGACATCTACCAATAGATGAGATCAATCATAAGATGCTTCGTCCAGAAAGTTCTCTCAGTTTGTTACAAGTAGATGTAGGTGGAGGGGGAAAAAAATTAGAAACATTTAAGTGCTCATTTCTTGGAAAAAAAAAATCCAAATCTTTCCTCTCTTCACTTTCTCACAAGTGAATTAAAAATAGCATCTATTGCAATGCAGTGAACGTCTCCCATAATCTCTTTAAGAAGAAACAGTCATACTTACCTGAATGTTTCCCTCACCAATGACTTCCTAACCCCACCTACAACTCACTGTAAAGGCTTGACTTCAATCTCAAGTCTTCTGCTCTATTCACAAAATGAGATCAAATTCTGAGAGCAGTTTAATGCTCTTGTGACAACCTCTGACTTAACCTAGGCACATTATGATTGCTGTGGAAGCAATCTGGATTTCCAGAATATTCCTCTTTTTCCTGAAAACCTAGATATCCTAGGAGTTAATTGTCATTACTTGAACAATAAAAATATAATGCATAAGAGCACTGAAATTTTCTCCTTTGCCAATCGTGCAAGGATAGACTCCTTTGAAATTTTATCAGCCACATGGAGCCAACATGCAACAAAAAAGAACCAGAAGTCATTGGACTTAAAACACAACATATATGCATAGCCACTTGTGTATGCATTTCCTGGTTACTATCCATTGCAATACCTTTTTGCACAACAGCAACAGTGCCTGGTATTTGCATGTAGGGAGCCACTGAGCTGCATGCCTGAGATGAGGCACTATCATTTTACCTGCAGTGCTCTTCATTGCTCTCAAGACACCAGGCAAAGTACAACCCAATAGTTAATCAAGAAGGTATGCTACTCATTATGTTTGATGCAATTTCACTTAATTCATTTTGGGATAATTTTGGTGGTGTTTCTTCCTCCTCTCCTTTAGAGCACACACTTACCTAACCATATAAAGCTGTTTTGTTTATCTCATGTGGCCTGTAATTATAAGCTCTCCCCTCCCCAAAGAAACTTTCCTTCATTGTGCTCCAAATAGTACAAGGAGAAGTTGGAAAAAAAGCTAGGTTTTGTCATTAAAACCAAAGCAATGATGATGTATTTTTTTTTAAAGGCAACTGTAATTTTTGCAGTTAAGGAGTAGCAGACAGCAGGATGTCCTCTTTTTTTTTTTTTTTTTTTCCAAAGAGGTGATGGATAAAGCCATCAAGGACAGAATCTGATATCCTACAGTAGTTAAAACAGAAAAATCAGCACGTTTCTACCACAGAAACTGCTTGGGCATGCAGAAAGAGACTCTGCTTCTTGGTTCCTCTGAGGACACTGAATATGGTGATGGTATCTCAATTTAAGGTAAGAGGTTTTGCTCTAAATAGCAAGACTATTTAATTAAAAAAATAGAAGAAATTTTCTTTTAGTGGAATTTCATGATTTTTTCCAACAACCTGAGACCAAGATGTGTTCCTGTGCCTTCAATTTGACATAACGTCGCTTTTTTGATTATTTCAGATCAGCTTTAGAGAGCCAGGTTCAGTTTTTTCATTCCACATGCGTGTTTTTGTGAAAGAAGATCTTTCTGTTTGGAAAGAATAACTGACCAACACACATAAATGCACTTGGCCAACAGATGTCTCCAGGATGACATTTATACTCTCCTCTTCCAGTAAGATAGAGGATACAAGACAAAAATAAAAGAGAAAAATATAATAAACAGAACACATTCAATGCAAGTTTCTACTGCTGTGTAATTCCTGGCTAAGAAACTGTCATAAAAGGACAGTATAATTGACAGTACCTTTCTTCTTAAGATTCCCTTGTGAAAATAAGGTTCTTTTTTATCAGATAACTTGCAATACCTTGAATCTCAGGAACTTTTCAAGTTGCTAATACTTGTTACCTATAATTCATAACTACAATGCCAGATACAGCATTATAGGCTTGATTTCAGGTGATGTGTTGAAGCCTACAAACACTACTAACACTTCTGAAGTCAATATTCTTTTCCAGCTCAAAGTAACAGAGGGTTATCAGAGCAAATCAACCAAGAGGAAGCAGCCTGACCCAGCTTATAGCAGGTTCCTTTCACACAGGAATCTGCCTGGGGCCTCTGAAGTATCAAGATAAGGCTGCCTTTGAGAAATGCTCTTTCACTGGGGAAAGATCCTATCCACCAGAAAAAGACTCCAGATCACCTTTAATATACTGCACAGTACGAAATCAAAATCGCCTATTGAAGTTTCAGAGATGGAGAAGAGTGGATTGCATGGTCTTATTCTACTGATGTAGCATTTCAGCAGAAGAGACAAAGAAACAATGTAAAATTTAAGTGTGGGGAAAAAAGCATTTATGAGGACATTGTCAATTAGTGATTTCCTCATGGAAAGAGGCTAACAACAAAACAGTTTCTGGAAGATCAAGCTGAAACATGCTGTTAGGAATCATTTGTTTTTAAATCCCTTTCCTTACATCAAGGGCATAATATCTCTCCTTTTCCAAGAAAGGGAAAACCTTTTACTTCTAGTTTTTATCCTTTCATACATCTTTCTTCCCTTGAACAGACTTTTCTTGAACTCCAAAGAATAAACGAGGTTGGTAATCTTTGCATTCTATCACAAATACTAGCCTGATTGATTTCTATATTCAGATATGTATTTCAGGCTGAAACAACTACATCTTCCTGCATTTTGACAGGAGAAATGCTAATAAACACTCCTGTGCTCTTCTAAATATTTAAAAGAATGGAAAAGATGTCTAGAATAAACCATCCAAAGTATGTACATCTCCCCTACAAGAATTTTGGGAGAGGTGGGCTGGTTTTTTTTTGTTGCCTCACATCAATCACCAGACGTGATTCACGCTACTGAGATGGGATGTTAAGCCAACTTAAGGAGTTGAATATACAAAGCTCTTCTCAGTCACTGTACTGTAGAGTTTGCTGATTTACCTCAAGTGCAGGCTGTGATGGGATCTTTCTAGTTGGAGCAGGAAGAAATTACGGCTGTGATGACACAAAAACAACTTAAGTTGATGATCTTCAGATATACATGAAGTCAGGAAAGGCACTGGTAGTTCTGTTCCTGAGCGTACAGAAGAAGGTAAGGAATCCTACAATCAGTGTTCTCATCTTTGGGCAAAGGAAGGAATCTCTGCAATGCCTTTCCATAGTGACCTGACTGTTGATAGATATTCTGGGAGGAAAACTCCCTTTAGTGCTTTCTTCCACCTTCCTTGTCTACATAGCAGGTTTCACTGCTACTCACTAATTCAAGAGCCAGCGAAGAGCGATCCCCAGCTTTCCGCATCAGTGTGCTTCTGCTCCACAGCCAGTAAAGAAAAGTTTAAACAATTGTGAGTAAATTCTACAAAATAGCATCTGCAAAATAAGCAAAAAACTGAGTCTGTGTATTTGGTAAATGGTATAGACTATAAGCAACAATACTTTATTATTATTATTATTATTTTTAATGCTGCAGCTCCAACAACTGCAAGACCCAACTGAAAGAACATGGAAACAAAACACAAACTGCCACATCCGATTCATGTTACCCACGGCTAGATCAACTATTTCTCAACCCTCCAACTGAAATCATAAAGCATCATGCAATTATTTTAGATTTAAAGTGCAACTAGCCATATGGAGTACTCGCAGTTCCTAAAATGAAACTTGTTCTAGGTTAAGAAGTTGTTCCCCTGCTGCCGTTAGTCATACCTCTAGAAATACGTGCAGGCTGCAAACCCGCTGCAGGATCTATGCACCAGGATCCAGTTGAACTGTTATTCAAAATAAACATTGGAAGAACAACAAATTTTAGCAAAGCATCTTTCTCCTGGAAACTAGCACCAACATGACATGCATATTAAAGTATCAACAGGAGTGATGTAAGTCTGATTGTTTAAATTCCAAGCTACTGATACTATGAAAAAAACACTGGTTTCCCAAAACTTCCTGGTTTTGGTTTTTTTGGGTGGGAAGGGGAAGAGGGGAATTGACAGGAGAGAAGGGAAGAAGTCATTAAACGTTACAACAGCTATACCAGATAACGTTATCGAGTGCCAAGATGGAAAAAAGACAGCAAAACAATTGATCAATGTGTTGATTTTGAAAGATTAAGTGTCATGCAACCCATCATTAAAAGCTAAACTTGCAGACAAATAGAATGGCAGGAATCTTGACTTTCTGACTCTCGGAATTTGTTTCAAAGCATTTAGCCTCTCTCCAGAAATGTTTTGTGTTCAACTTCTTTAAAGGCCTACAGAAAACCAGAGAGGGCCACAGAATTGTCTGGATTATCAGACTAACTGTCCGACACCACCTACTTGAGACTGGCACAGGTACCAATCCCTGAAACACCCTTCCTCTTGCCAGTTTAGGACCAGTAAAAAGCTACAGCTTTTCTGAACTTGGTGTGAACTAGCAGTATAAAATTGCATAATTGGTTGATTATAGAAAATACCACCTTGTAAAAATAATTCCAATTCATAGTTGCATCAACTTTGTAAAATTAAATGAGTATTTTTTAAACAATATTATAATTATGTTTTCATCTTTAAAAACTGTTTTGAAATAATATTTTTAAATGTCTTTATTAACATTTTTTTTCTTGTCAACTTTGTATGCCAAGTAGAGTTGAGAGCAAACTTTTTTTTTTTTGGCCTAACTAACCTACATTTTGAATCAGATTAATAGACTTTACTGGCACTAATACACATTTCTGTCATAAAGACAGACCCTCATTCAGCCTTAGGGAAATTCTATGCTTCTGGGCAGAGTGCATGAGCCAGTATTAAAAAAAAATTAAAAAAGGAAATCAGTGTTTTTAAGACATCATACAATGCCAAGTTATTCACTTTTTTCCTCCTTAAGAAAGCCACCAAAGGTTACAGTATTTATGTATACCTTGAATTTATTTGAAGAAATTGCACAAAATCTGTAGTTTCTTAACATTGTCTTCGTATTTTTCTTTTTAGCTCTTAATACATGGCTTGCTTGATTTAATGTGATTCTATTTACATGCAATTAGCTTACATAAATTTCTTACACTTTTTTTTTTTTTAAAAAAGCACCATTGTACTGACTTCTCAATCTTCACATAATTCCTACACTTCTCTGGTCAGGGTCTTTCAGTCAGTCTATCTGCAGAACCTGGAAGCTGAAATACTACACATCAGCAATGTTAAGAGGAATGATTCCAGTACCGCTCAACAGCCACATCAGACTGGATGACCATGATTTTTTTTGTTGTTCTTGTTTTGGATTTTTTGGGCAGGGTGGGGTGAGATTCAAACTGAATTTTCAGGTGAGAAAGCTCAAGGCTTTTCTCTGTAGGTTTTGACTCTTGGTCTTCTCCTTCATTACTTTCTTCTGGTGTGTGGGATTGCTGAAGAACTCAAATACAGCAAAAATACCCTTTTCATGCAATAATTACTCAAATATATACATATTTAATAGATTAATGCAACATGGATGCACTGGAAAATAAAAGCTAAACAAGTGAATTGCTACTTTAAAAGTTGCTTTTTGAGAAGTTCTACTTTGGAAAGTACTCAAAATATGCATTTCAGAATTGAGCACTGATGTACTTCCCATATCTAATACTAATTTCTACATTTTTTCACGTTAAAAGAGCTTCCTGACTCCAGAGCGTCCAAATTTGTCGTGCAATCTGACCAACAGGCTTGAGCCTTCCCTTGTTTTCAGTAGCAATAAGGACTTTACAGCCAAAACCAGCCTGAGTTTTCCAGTGACTGTTACTGCTGAGACACAAACTGATGTCAAATGCTATTGTAAGCTGTGTGAGTTCTCCAGCACTAAGAAGCGTGTGATGTAACTAAGGCTTACTTTTGTCTAACACGAGCTGGTGACAGTGGAGACAGAAACCAATTTAGAGTCGTGACTTGCAAATGAGGTGCAAGCACACCATGATATCTCTGCAATATAAATCTTGAACCTAAGAGTCAGACTGTAAGTTTTAAAAGTCTCATGTGCAGTCAGTCATGTTTTAGATTAGGATTACATTCCTTTTTTTATTTTCACCTAGTAGGTGTTAACAGTACATAGGCATTCTAGATTATATTGTACTGCTACCACTGCACAAAACATGCTGTCTTTAATTAGCTAATTAAGTGATTTCTGAAGATTTGCTGACTTAATTTTCCTTATTGGTCTAATGCCTCGAATTCACCCACATTTTAGTATCAAATTAAAATTGTGTAATTCTCTCAAATACGACTTGGAATCAGACCACCACAAGTTTTATAATAAAAACATTCATAAAGCAGCTGATGTTAAGGCCATTTGAAATGTACCATTTGGCTCTGTGTAATTAAAACTGTTTGCATTGAGTTGCCCCTGTATCTTCTCTTCATGCAAGCACCTTCACACCTACCTGCTGTGATCAGCCAGAACTCCCAGCTTTTGCACTAGACACAATTAACTTTGGCAGTGCCTCTTCACAGGCATATACCAGTGTGCAATGTTTGACTGTCATTCTGTATCTGTTGAAATATTAGCACTTGGTTTAGGTTGTGTGCAAGAAATAAAAACAACAACAGTATCAAGTCATATTAACAAAAGAATACACATGAAAACACATTAAGGATCTAGCCTAGGCTTACTGCTTTCACAAAATCGTTCACAACCGGGAAAAAGACAGACATCGAACAACCACACCAAAATAGAAACTTACCCCACTGACTGATCTGGCTTGGAGAGTGTTTAACCGTACCCTGAATCTCACAGGACCCTCTTTCCATCGCTTGAGTCAAGACTTCATTGACCAAAATAAACACAATCCAGGGCAGATAAAAAAAGAGCTTCCCACACACTCGGGCAAACACGCAAGACACCATAACCCCTCTTGATAAAAAACCCCACCATTTGAATCATTACCGAACACTTCTGTATATGATTAATACATACAATGTGGACAGTTTATTTTGAAGCAAGTCTGACGACACCACACACCAGAGATATTCTTGACATGACTCTCTTCCAGCATGAAATTAGTCGCCTGATCTCCAATTTCTATGCCAAAATGTAAAGGCCAGCGTTCCCTCAAAACAGTTTTTCTATTTAATAAAAAGCTTCTGCCTGAAAGTTGCTAGGATCAGCTCTCCTATAAAAGACCACTAAGGCTCCTTTCCTTCCATCACATTTTCTTTTTAAGGCAAGATTCTAAAATTAGTTTGCAGCAGGACCAAGAGAGATCTGCATTAAAGTTCTCAGGTTTGAGTTGTGTATTACATGCAAACTATTGTATTTTCTACTTAATTGCTTCCTAGCTACCAAAACAAAAAAAAGAGTAAAAAAAATCTCACAAGCATTCCATGCTGCCATTACTTCCATGTGCAAAAATGTTCACATTAGAAAACCACCTTTCACACTCTTAATTTAAGTCAAACTCCATCTTCTAGTTTACTGAAATGTACAAAAAGGAAAGCATAGTGAATGTGACAAAGTTTGACATGGCCAACGTAAAGAAAAATGCAACGCAGATGCCTAATAAAGTAAAAGTCCTTCATTGCTGGCATGTGCTCAAAATTCATTCTCTAGAGGCATTAATCTTGAGTTAAGCATTACATTACATAGAATTCAGCTGAGAATGAGTCTGTATTTTAAGTGTAGTCACTGTTCCAAATAGCTATATCCCCAAGTTTTAAATTATTCTTAATTCATAGTTTAATATCTGCATAACTGAAATCCCCATAAGCATTTTACAAACTAGACCAGAGTTTAGTAGTATGTAACTGTTCCCCCCCCTCCCCCCACCTTTTTGCTGGACAAGCATTATACAATTACTTCATGTATATAATTTTACATGTGGACATCAGGTAATCTTCTCTTATTTCTTAACTATTTTTATTGTAGAATTCAGTCCAGCAGAAAAATTCCTCAAACAGAACTGCCAACTTCATACTTCAAGATGTGACTTACTGTAACAGTCTGCTATTCCTGGCCTTGGCAATCTTTAATGTCCTTTTTTCAAGTCATCAGGGAATTGCCATTTACCAGTTACGATCTTTCCTTCTATTTTATAAAATAAAGCCTGCATATATATTTAAGCAGCCTGCACGACAAAAGAATCATATATGGTACCCAATAAAATGCATTCTAATGGCACTTACATAGGCAAATGCACAGCTTTGTTAGCGAGAAGCTATATGAAGTATTGGGGTGAGCACTAAACGGCACACTGCGATACAGAATTATAACAATTTTTTTTTCACATTAATTGAATGCAGGTTTCAGAAATACAGCACATTCAACCCTATGCTAATCAAAAGTCTGCTTTTCCAGCAATGTATCATTATGTATCAATTATTGATATTATGACTCGACATTTTCATTCATTAAATATTTTCCTCTTGTACATTTAAAATATGTAGACAGAAAAAGGGGTGCAGTAGAAAAATCAAGCGCACTAACAAAATATTGATAGTCTCATTATCAAAATCAAGTAATAATTTTTCGTACTTAACAGCAGTTAACATGCAATGAAACATATTTTCTGAATTCAACAAAACTATACAGAAGATGCTTCCCATGTCCAAAATGGGAGCAGAGAGGACTGCAGGGGGAGGAGGAGGACATGGGGAAGGGTACACTCCCCAAACTCCAGTGGAATCACTTGAACACCTGTGAGCAGTATATACATTGGCAGACCGTTCTTGAAGAGCCAATAATTTAACCATGATAACCTTGGTGGCCTTTAAGGAAATGAATCATTAACTGGACTGTAGAGATTTGTGAGCTCCACCGTACCTACAGCTCTAACTGCAGCAAAATACTACTGAGTATAGAGTAAAAAGGTATGCAAACATACGATTAATCTTTAACTGCAACTTAATAAACAGTTGTAAAATTCATTATTGAGAAAGCTAAGTATTTTAAAAGGGAAGTAAAGAGACCAAATGTAAATCTTAACATCCTTCTCACTGCAGACAACCACTTCATGTCTTCTTTCTCCACCCATTCCCCAGCATGCATTAACAAAACACATATTCCTTCCCTCTTCTTTACCACTTAGATCAAATGGTTATTCTGAGCATATTAATGTAAAAAAAAAAAAAAACAAACGTCTATTTAGCAGCTAGCAACCAGAAGTCAGTATCATCCAACTGCCCTGTTTTACGTCTATCGTAAGGCCAATTTAAACTACTGTAACATGTTCATTTGAAGCATGGAATGTATAGTGTAAACAAAGTTAATCTGAGGTAAAAACATGACACTATGGACAAGGACGTCAGTGATCCATCTCCACATGGCCTAGTCACAAAGTACACAATTCAATGGGAGGAACCAGAGTTACTATGAGGAAGCCAAATTCTCACAAGCTTAATTTCAGAGTACTAGCTAACATCAAACACAAAAAACTACAAGTTATAGGAAAAGAGGGCTCATAGCTATCATAAAATACGGAGATGAGTTTATTGTTATTGGAATTATTCATTTTGTTTAGTAAATTACTAAAATTTACTAGAAGTTTACTTTATA